GTAGTAGTAGTAGTAGTATAGTAGTAGTAGTAGTAGTAGTAGTAGTAGTAGTAGTAGTAGTAGTAGTAGTAGTAGTAGTAGTAGTAGTAGTAGTAGTAGTAGTAGTAGTAGTAGTAGTAGTAGTAGTTAGTAGTAGTAGTAGTAGTAGTAGTAGTTAGTAGTAGTAGTAGTAGTAGTAGTAGTAGTAGTAGTAGTAGTAGTAGTAGTAGTAGTAGTAGTAGTAGTAGTAGTAGTAGTAGTAGTAGTAGTAGTAGTAGTAGTAGTAGTAGTAGTAGTAGTAGTAGTAGTAGTAGTAGTAGTAGTAGTAGTAGTAGTAGTAGTAGTAGTAGTAGTAGTAGTAGTAGTAGTAGTAGTAGTAGTAGTAGTAGTAGTAGTAGTAGTAGTAGTAGTAGTAGTAGTAGTAGTAGTAGTAGTAGTAGTAGTAGTAGTAGTAGTAGTAGTAGTAGTAGTAGTAGTAGTAGTAGTAGTAGTAGTAGTAGTAGTAGTAGTAGTAGTAGTAGTAGTAGTAGTAGTAGTAGTAGTAGTAGTAGTACCGACACTCAAGAGCTCACTAAATCTCTGTAAGCTGCAGACAGTTTAACCATTCATAATTCGTAAAATGACACCCCTTAGACCTTTAGATTACTGACGAAAAATTAGTAAAATATCCTTCAGTTATCCACCAAACTCATCCATTTAGTAGAATGATTACAAGAATTACATTAAATCGCTTATTAAATGCAAATATAAATCCTACCAATAACCTTCAATTTATTTACTGTAATTAACACATGACAAGATGGTGAAAAATTACACACTATTTTATAAAATAATTTATAATTAAAATCATAATGTTCTGTAGTTTATTACATTAACAAATGGATTCGATCGAGTTCAAGTATACATCAATGAACAGTCTCGAATCAGAGTGAAAGAGCCATCCAGTAACGTCTATTAATTAATTTAGTTCATAAAAAAAGTACGTTCACACTAAACAGAGCTCCAAATGCCCTGGTACAACCGAGGGTGGGGAGAGTTACCTCTCCATCTCGAAATGCTCTTAAAGTGGCCACGTGCATACAAGCACTGTCAGGGAAGTACTACTCACTGCCTTCTCGCGGCATTATTGTTGTTTAGAAATTGACATGGCGAAAAGCGAACGTCTGGTGCCCTAACCGGGCTGATCAATATGGAGGATCCACTCAAAGGGAGTTGGAAAACCCTGATTTCAAACCAATGGTAGACATGGGATCCACGATCCTGAAGGAACAAATGGAGTATGAACCAATCGATGGTCACCGGCTACCATGGGACTGCATCGGCTGACGTTGCTCCGTTGCCTTGTGGATTAGACCTTTAGGTCAAAGGCTCGAGCTGTGGCCTCCTAAGAAAACCACCTGCTTTGATTTGGGCACCTGGGCACTATCACAGCATAGCTGTTTGGTGCCCTCTTGTGCCAATATTTATGTGTTTAAATAAATAAATATGGCGTACTAACAGAATTTGGTGTATTATTATTTAAAGTAAGTAAATGCACGTACATGAATGAATTGATTTTCATAATACTACATAATCTGACATGTATTAGAAATGTATAGTATAAATTGTATTCATACTATTCACCAGCAATTTTATTATATTATGGTTATCTTGTAAACTGGGAATAAATAATCTAAGAAAGAATAAACAAAATGATTTATTCCCAACAAAATAAAATCAGCTATTATATGTCACCTAGACAATTGACACTGTCTCATAGACTCCTTGTCATATATTTACTATTGACTAATTTAGGAGGTAAATACCAAAGTGAGATTCTGTAATCATTTCAGCGACATTAAAAGTGAAACAAAAGTGACCGATGGCAACAGACGACTATTCAGTAATAATCATGAACCGACTCAGATGTTATACATGAACTATAAGTTGCCAACTTAGTGGTCTGAAAATTCGGTGATCACCATGACACCTGAAAGTCTTGATTTCGATCCATGATAAAAATATTAATCCTTAAAGTCAAGAATTTTCATAAATGCACAAAACAGTTGTTGTGTGCTTTCTTATTTTTAATGTTTATCTCATTAAAGTCAGTCTGTAATATGAAATTATGAAACAAAAACATCGAACATTAAAAACATGTAATTCATTTTGGCATTCATCATAGGCAGCATAAATGCTATTTCATAATAGTATTTCCATGTTTACATGTTTAGACTCTCAAGATGGATAATGTTAGTATTTGTAAGTGTCTTGTCTAATAATCTCTAGAATTCAAGAGAAACTGACAATGAAAAATTTATTCATCTAATTGTTTTTTTTCAAATTGATTTTGTCAAGGTAAAATTGGGTAACGACAAAATAACCTTGAAAATTCAAATCAATAAGAAATTTGTGCCTATTTTTTTTAATTCTTTGATTATTGTTGAACATAAACTAATAGATAAAAGCAACTTGAAATGATGTATGATTTATTTCAGAAAGTAGGATTAACTGAAACAATAAAGATCATGAAACATCTTCATTTCAAATAAATCAATAATGTGTAGTCCCAGAGTGAACATCAACTCTGAGATGCAGGTACATCCAGCTGACGAGTCCCAAATAGGACGAAACGAGCGTTAAACTGGATTCCACTGCTAGCCACTATCCATCTTTGCTTATAATGCTTGTAAATTAAGGCAATATTGAGGCATACGCACAGTATGCACATATGCCAATAAGAGACTGATCAATTTCAGTCTTAAAACATCAATGGGAAGATTCAAGTAAAACAATACCAAGTGAATAGTGTGTATATTCCTGATTTTATATGAAATTAAACAAAAGATCTGATGTTACGTTGTCACTGACTAGGTAACTAAATTAAGGTTTTAACAATTTAAATGTATCAACCAGTGATCTATTGACATAGATATTAGCACTAAAAAGAAGTCTTGACAAACTTTAGTCAACGATAAGTAGTAACTTGTTATTCAACTGAATTATGATTCAGTTTTTGATATTAATCATATTTGAAGTTCACTTATATTATTTTCATATTAAATTTATATTCTATTTATTGAAATAAACTTTTGAAATGATTTACAAAAAGGTTAATCATAATAGACATCCAATGGTAAACATATTCAACACCTATATTCTTAATTTAAACCTATTGACTTTAATCAGAGAGGGATTTTGTGGATATTAAAGTAAATTAATAGTTGAATTCATGAGTTAATTGAAGCTAGACCACCATGGAAACCACGATTGATTGATCACTAGGTGGTGATCAATGTCATGTGTGTCAAGTCCTTACTAGTTCAGATCGAATACTATCAACCAAGTTGCAATGTGGCCACTAGTCTAGGTGACTCGACATTGCGTGATCAATCAATTGTGATTACATCTCAGTCCTACAGGAGGTCAGTCGCCACCCGGATAGCTCGTTGGTAACGTCTCTGGGTGTGAGGTTGGGTGACACGGGATCGAATCCATCAGGAAGCACCGGTTCCCTCAAGATTACAGGCACACCTCGCTGACGAGTGCCAAGTAGCACGAGACCTGGGTCCAGAGTTTCCTGTCGACTACCTCCAACCTCTGTGTTATTTTCACAGTTAAAGTCAATAGTAATTTAGTAGATGGACTCATGCGTCGATTGAAGCTAGACCACCATGGAAAACCTGCGAGTATTGGACGGCCGTTTCATCCAAGTATGGGACTGCTAGAATCTCACCAGCTGGGGTCGTGGATGCACACTACTGCGGAGTCCCATACTAGAACGAATGGCTGTCCAGTACTTCAAGGTTTACTATAGTGGTCTAACTTCAATCGGCTCATGAGTCCAACTACTAAATTACTATTGACTTTAACTGTGAAAATATCACGGAACTACCAATTCATTTAGATAACAATTTTGGTAAATAAAAAACAAATAACATTAATTTGAATTATCCTTTAACATAGAATGAAATGAATAAGGGAAATTCATATTATTGGTATAATAAAGTTTTGGAGACTGTATAATCAGTCTAAATAGTTTACTGATTGAAAACTAGACAGACACTGAAAGAACTAATGAGGGCAAAACATAGCTGTTTCGTCCTTGTCCCGTACTCTACAGCATTACAAAAATTATTTTCAATGGTTGTTTAATTAAATTCATTGTGTGATGTAAACTATAAATTAATTTTAATTTGATACTGATTACTAGCAGTCAAACCTGGATAGAGAGTAAGCAAAGAAGTGGTGTGCATGGATAAAGTTCCTGATGACATCGTGGATGTCCACTACTGAGAAGTACCATACTAAGAATAAACGGCTATCTAATGCTTCCTGTTTTTCAGTAGTTATCTAACTAAGATTATTCCATGATGTAATCTATAGATTTCGATCATCCACACTAACCCTCTACAGTCATATTAATATTGATGAATATGTGTGAGATCTTGTCTGAACGAATTATTTTAATCTACTGTAAATATATCCCTGTTATAACCTACCACAGACATGCCTAATGTAACTTACTGCTGCTTGAGAACAAAGTATTATTATTTAAGATTATAAGGTCGTAGTTGGAGGTTTGATGCTATTTGGAACTCATCTGCAAGATATATATGTATTCTTCAACAATCTGATACTCTCTGGCGGATTCAATCCAGCCTAACTGTCAAAGACGTCACCACTTCACTTACCGAGTAGCGACTGACTTCCTGTAGGACTGAGATGTGAGGCTGGATGACAGGGCAGCAACACTTTCCTCAATATTACATTTACCCTTGCTGACGAATGTGAAATGGCATGAAACTTAGATCTAGAGTTTCCTGTCTTCTACATTCCATCACCAGCTGACATCTCAAATTAGTGCACGCGATGTCGAACCAATTAGATCAGTACCACACTGAAACTTGATCGGTGGAATCCGATCAGCACTAAGAAAGAATTAACATACATGGCATTAGTCACTGCTTAGTGATTAACCAATTGTAAATATTATTATCATTATTGTTAACATTATTTTCCATACTAATCTTATTTTTTAGACAACTGGACATATACGAACAAATAACACGTAAAATTTGTTTTCATTGTTACCAATCTGATTTCTTTCGACTTTCGTAAAAGTGCCTTTTCATTTTCACTGATAACTTATGTAATATGGTAACGCGCACCTACTTCCAAATAAATAATGATGGTTATATCTACCAGCAACCTGTATCATACTTCACACAGAATACACAAAATTTTCAACGACAATGGAAAAGTCATCAGAATTTACATGAATCACGCTTGCTTAATCGTCATGTGTCTGATCAGTACATTACTATACCGACAACACGTTTCAATAATGATTCATATAAAAAAGTAAATGGATGTTATAACATTACTTTAAGTATCAATAATACTAATAATAATAATGATACTAGTAATCACTGTAATAGCAATTATAGTATTAATAGTGTAAACAACAATTGTGTGCAACAAAATGTTTACAAGCCTCTATCAAATTTATCTGACAACATCAATAATCATCGTCTAGTATCAAAGGAAAATTCCTCTACCATGAGGTTCGGTGAAAAATTACGTTCTACATCCCTACCACCATTATTACATACTACAAATTATTTTACTCCACAAAAATCAATAATTGCCAATACTGGCCACACTTCACCATCATTGGTCAATCAGATGTGTCATAAATTCTCTTCTACCTCCGCATGTCAACACAGTGGTGCAGATTGGGAAGATTGCCGTATTAGTATAGACTGTTTTGGTATTAAAGGAAAACATTGTAAATCAATAAGGCACCTACACAAGAATTACAGTTATAAATTAGCACCACAAACGCATTTATCATCAACACGTATTGGTAACACACAGAATGGACTGAATGATAAATATTTACTCCCTTTACCAATAAGGACACCTTCTATTCATTTAGAAAATATAAAGTTAAATAAAACATCCCAATCAATAAGATCGCATAGTTTATGCGCTAGATCTGTCCGTCTATCAATTATACCGTTAAATCCAATCTACAAAAGATCACCATCGTTATTAAGAAGAAAACAGTGTTTAACAAATCACACTAATCAGTCGATAAGAACTAGAACTACACCTTGGATTAATTCATTTGATTTACACAATTATCATACAGTTCTTCGTAATTGTTGGCGTAAAAATTTAATTCAAAGAATGGTAAGTTAATGATTTAAGATTTTGATTGTTATTGTCATTCATTTGTGTTTGTTTGGATCTTTCATAATCTATTTTTCTGTAAAATTATTGTAACTATATGAAATATAGTATATTGACTGTCAATTTTCTTTCACTTCTATAAACTAATCTATTTTGTAATTATCATCACTAAGGTTATTACTATTTATTTATTTAAACACATAGACATTGGTACAAGGAGGCACCAAATAGATATGCGCCACATAAATCATCCGATTTATGTGAGGGCTGGGGTACTACCTGAGTGCCCAAACCAAAGTAGGTGGTTTTCTTAGGATGCCACAGCTCGAGCCTTTGACCTAAAGGTCTAATCCACAAGGCAACGGAGCAAGGTCAGCCGATGCAGTCCTATGGTAGCCGGTGACCATCGATTGGTTCATACTCCATTTGTTCCTTCAGGACCGTGGATCCCATGTCTACCATTGGTTTGAAATCAGGGTTTTCCAACTCCCCTGGGTGGATCCTCCGTGTCCACTAAAGTTAGATTTGATAAGTTCAAATAAATTGAACATTGAGTAGGATGTTAGTAATAAAATAAGTAGAAATTAGAATTCTTATTTTTATTCATTGGGATATCATTATTTCATTATTCTATTTTGGTTTACAACAATACCATATGAAATATATGTCAATGTCAATGTGAAATATATTAAGAGAGCTGTCATTCAATTGCTTTCACGAATAATTCGTAACTATTAAAGTAGACATTTTTTAGAAAAAAGAAGTCTCAAAAGGTCACCAAACGCATAATAAAAGTAACTATTTTCGTTGACAACAGAGTAGGAAGCTAAAAATCTTTCAACCGAATTAATAATAATAAATAATGCTAACATGATAGATACAATAGAAACAAAAGAATTGTGGTAAACTGAGTTGAGAAAACTTTCCAAATAGTTTTGTCACTTAATGCAAAAGTACAAATCATGGGGAACATCAAGCAAAATACTAACCTAAGTTGATAATGAAAATAACGGTTGGATCATCATAAATGCATTAATCCGATCAATATATAAGATTTACCATGGAAAATATGTTATTAATATTATTATTATCAGCTTTATTCAATATTATATTTTTGGCACAATATAGAATTCTGAGCACAAAATATTTCAACAAGTTTCCGTTTCTTTCTTCTTGATAGATCCTGGTGATAAATATTGAGTGATCGCCAGTTAGATGTTAGCAGTTCACTAAATGAGCATCTGAATAATGTTCACTCATTTCGCTGTATATTGCCAGCAACCACATTGTCTCTTATTGAGTTTTTTGTAACTTTGACAACGAAAGGTTGTACACTTTTCAGAAACGCAACAGAATAGGTTATGCGATTAATAAACATAATGATACATTAAAACAAACAAAAATAGATAACTTGTTGAAATATCTAGATGGCAGGAACAGGTAGCCCCGATGCTCAAGCAGGCCGCCCTTGTTGTGTATATACAGTACATACAAGGCGTACCACACACTTCTCAACAGAGTTTTTCATCTTCGAATGTTAGATTCTATTAAATAAGACCGAATGATAAAAGCATACTGACACGTTGAGATTCTATTTTTCCACACCGCGAAAAATGTTTCAAATGGTTTCAACTACTAATTAGTAGTATAAAATTACATCATTATTTGTATAATTTTGTTAGTATTTTAAAAACTCCTGGACAGATGGATTAGCTTAGAAATAACTTGTAGGAAACTGTATTAATGGAATAATGTGCTATCCATATTTATCAGTTTATACACTAGATTCCCCTATGCTTTCTTCATTATTTTTAATCAGGAGAATTACTAAATGCCTCAAGTGACACTTTACAGATTTCAATAGCGAAATTCGACCAATTAGTGTCCTATGTAAGGTGTTTTGCATATATATATAACCGTCGTGTTTTCAGGTTGGGGAGTATATTTTCCTAAAGTGTGTCAGATCAAAACAAATTGAACTTACCATATCATAGATAACACGCACGTAAAGAGAACAGCTTGGACATCGTGCTATATCATCACCACCATATATATAATAATAATAATAGTAATAATAATAATAATAATTTGGTATGTGGCTAACAATGGGGCTTAGAACACTCATTTCGCCATTCTTGCTACTCGTCAGTTGGATATACCTCCATCCCAGTATTGATATTCACATCAAAGTGGTTGTCTGGATTCACTGGCTTGGTGGGTAACCCATTGAGGGTTTGAAGCGAAAATTATTGGGTTCGAGTCTGGGTGTGAATATCAACACCAGTACATGGCAGATACATCTAGCTGACAAGTCCCGAATAGGACGAAACGTGTGTCCTGCATCCCAATGCTAGCCATTATGGATCTATTCTAGGCGATATACATAGGGTACACTTATGCCAACGAAGACTGATCAAAATTCAGTTTCTGATATTAGGTAACTGGATAACTCAAGTCTTTACTGTGATCTGAGACAAGTATATAGTAAAAACGTACAGTTATTAAACGTTGTTGCTTTTAACATTTTTATGAGCGTCTAAAACATTGCACCCTGTTTCTTTTTATTTATATTTTATTTAGGCTTTCAAAATTGATGATTTTACAATCCAAGAAGATCAAGTAAAAGGTGAAATATGATTGCTTTCTGTTTTATTCATTAATTCTTTTCACTTTGATTTGTATGGATTTCCATGGTACAGTTTTGATTCATTCATTGTATGCATTCATCATTTAACTTATTTGCCAGGTACAGATTTATGTACTTGGCTTGTGGCTACGTTCTAAGAGTAAGAGCTAGTAGTGATACAACCAGTTTCCTTGAAAGGACATAAGTGAAGAGGGGTTCGAATCTGAGACTTATCAATTGAAAGTCGAACTCCTTCACCATTAATTCACCACATTCAAGACGTAATTCGTTAAACGACCAGCTAAACTACAGAAAACTATTCTTATCTAGATTTTAAACCCATTTAAATTCCGATGTTCTGACGTCAGTGTTACATCTATTCGTAACATAGAACAAGAGAATTAAAATTAATATCAGATGGGTTTTGTGGAGATTGTAGTAATTTCAATGGTCCAGTGCTGCCAGGTTTTCCAGGGTGGTCTAGCTTCAACTGACTCATGATCTTAATCATTGAGAATTAAAATTATCAAGTAGAAACAGATAAAGAAAGTTCATAGTTTGTTTATCTAAGTACTAGATCCGTTATCAATCATAAAATCATTACCATATATACTAGTGATTCCTAGTAACTTAAGATCAAGTTAGATTTCGTGATCTATACACTTAAGAATAAATAGAGGTTGTTGACTTAAAATTCCACCCGGGCTTGATATAACTGATCAGAATAGTAAATGTCGGTGGAAACTCGATTGGTTTTTATCCTTGTTCAGATATATTTTATTGAAATACTTTAACATACAACGTCACTTGGAATTTACCTCCTTCATTGTCCCAATTTATGTAAATACATGTTTCTTACTTAATAACTAACTTAATCCTGTCACTCTTATTAGGGAATAGGCCATCAACCACGGCTATCCAACCAACTCTGTCCCGAGTTCTCCTTTCCAGATGATGCCGAATGCCGTTCATCGTCTTTATTTCTGCCTCTGATTACCGGCGTAATGTGTTATTTGGTCTGCCTCTTTTCCTTTTGCCTTGTGATGCGGTTTAATGGTTTCCTTATAGTGTGACCTATCTAGCTCCAGTTTCTTTCCTTTATTTCTTCCTCAGCTGAGACCCGGTTTATTCTCTTCTATAGTAGGTTATTCCCGATAGTCTTTGGCAAATGGACCTGGAGTGTCTTACGTAGACAGCTGTTTATAAATACCCGTACATTTGAATGACAATTATGGTAGTTCCCTAAGTTAAATAAACGAGTCGATCTAAGCTAAAGCACCCCTGAAAATCTGGAAGCACCAAAATACTACAATCTTCATAAATTCCCATACTGAGTTCTCTAAGTTTCAGGTCTGTTAGTGTTGAAAATTCCATCTTTGGTGTTGGCCGACAGTCCTTTCGGTTTTCATATACTATTCAATTGTAGGAATGTATAGACATGTACTTATTATGTAATACTTCTATTTTTCTCCTTTTTTCCAGTTGCCAAAGATGTTTTCAAACGTTTTGACAAAAGAGGACAAGAAAAAATTAGCACCACTGATTTAGGTCCGGCTTTTCGTGCACTTAATCTTACTGTTAAACCAGACACTTTGAAAGAATGGGCTGATCAGGTTGATGACGATGGTAAGAATTTCAAAGTGTTTATACGTAGACACCTTTTACTAATAATCTTATCAGTAATGATATTGCCAACACATTCATTTCCTTACAACAGAATACATCCAAGTAATCATTCTTTCGTACATTTGAATATACATCTAAGTGACAATTGTCTTCGTCACTAGATACGTCGTATAGAAAGAACTTTGATTCAAGCATTAAACAGTAATTTGTTTGATGTAGCTAGTTAAGAAGAAAACAATTTAATCATCAATCTATCAAGAGAAATTATTTTTCCGGTACAAAGATCATTTTAACAATGAAAAGAAATAACGACCAATCTAGATGAAAATAATTCTAGATTAGCTAAGGAATAAAATGTTAAGTGAGCAACTATGTATAAATGTTACTGAGTTAAATAAAGAGTTAACAATAAATTGAGTGATAAATATTCGGCTTGGTGTTTGATTAGGCTTAGGTATGTTAATATATAAAAGATAAATACCAGCACAATAAGAACAAGTGTTATCCACTCGTTCACTATCATCATTCAATGAATCCAAGATTTATAATGCAAACAAATACAACAGAATTAATAATATAATAACTCAAAACAAGAATAATTTCATGAAACTGAACTGATAAATGTCAACACCAAAATAACGTGCATTAAATCCAAATTAGAATGCTTGTGACTTAAGGCAATATCGAGGCAATCCGTACAGGATGCACACATGCTAATAAGAGACTGATCAATTGAAGTCCTAAACATCAATGGGAAGATTCAAATAAGCAATACAAAATGAATTTGTCTTTTTCTGTGTTGTATTTTTTCTTCCATCATGAATGATTGTGCTATACTTGACACGTTCGTAGCACGATGGAGTGGTAATTTCGTCGTGGAAAACTCCACATTTTTCCATGTAAGCTAGTAAAAACAACAGAGAACAAAACACACCCCCCATCACGAAGTACAATAGTGTCAGGTGCAGGGTCAAAATTACAAATAAGAGTGGAGTTTATCCTTACCCCATTACACTATTAAACTATATCAAGCAGGTACATTGTTTGTTTGTTTGTTTTTGGACAAAAAACATGGGATAGAAAAAAATGCACTTAGATAATCAGTTCTTTGATGATCGATCTATCATTAATCTATTCTTCCTTTTATATTATTTTGTGATTGGTTAATTATGATATTGATCAATACACATTGCCACTCACAATGAACCAGTTGAAGTGTAATTATCTGACTAATTGATTAGTTGAAATACTTAAAGTTAATAGGTAGGTAAAAATACTAAACTAGAGGGCTATAAAAAAACCTTATCGAATTGTGATTTTATTAGCAATTAGAAATGTAGGGGTTATAAGCAAAGATGAATAGTGGCTAGCAGTGGAATCCAGTTTGATGCACGTTTCGTCCTATTTCGGACTCGTCAACTGGATGTACCTGAATCTCAGAGTTGATGTTCACTCTGGGACTCGAAATCAGTACCATTCGCTTCAAACGCCATCGCATTACCAACTTAGCTACTGAGTCCTGATAGCCACTTACTTGTGCAATGGGGTGAAGTTGAAATTCACTTGGTATTGTTTACTTGGATCTTCCCATTGATATTTAGGACTGCAACTGATCAGTCTCTTATTGGCTTATGTGCGTACTATGCGTATTACCTCGATATCGCCTTAATTCACAAGCGTCGGGAAGATTCAAATAAAAAATACCAAGGGAATGTAGGGGTTATTTCAACCTATAATTATATTTCTTTCGTATGAGGATAGTTATCCTCTTTCAATATTCACTAATTGTGCAATATTCAATATTTCAGGGTATTTTTTGTTCATTTAAAATGTATTACTATTGCATAGAAGAGTATAATTTTCACTGGGGACTTCATTTTAACCATCTGAAGTTATCTATCTACATATGTGTTATATGAATACGAAGCATTCTAACTTGCCGGATAAAAAAAGCAAATAAATTGAGAGTTAGAGCTTGAAATGAAATCCTTATTTATTTATTATTTGTTTAAACACAATGGTACAAGGAGGCACCACATAAATCATTCGATTTGTGTGAGGGCTGGGATACTGCCCGGGTGCCCAAATAAAAACAGGTGGTTTTCTTAGGAGGCCACACCCGGAGCCTTCGATCTAGAGGTCTAATCCACAAGAAACGTCAAGAGATGCAATCCCATGGTAGCCGGTGATCAACAATTGGTTCATACGCCATTCGTTCCCTCAAGATTCTGTAACTTATGGTAGGACCTTGAGGAACGGTTGTTCCAGCCAGTATAACTCGGTTGCTTCGTCACGATAGGCAAGCCCGACCACCACGTCAAGGTGGCAACAACAGTCGGGTATAGAACATTATTTGGAGACTTACTTTTTAAACTACCACAGTATAAACAACTTACAAACTAATGAATTTTAAAAAAAACTGCCGAGAAATATGACGAATCACATTAGAGTCCATATTAGTGAATATCATTACTGACCTGAGTTTAATCGTATTTATAAGTAGACAAAAATGATTTATAACTAATAATGAATATCAGTATAGGGGTTGTCGAGATCATTAAGTTTTTTTATTGAGATCATAAACCGATTGATGTTAGACTACCACCTTTGGAAACCTGGAAGCAATGGATGGCCGTTTCGTCCATTGTGGGACTCCTCAGCAGTGCGTATCCATGATCCCACTCTCTTGTACTGCTGAGGAGTCCCGTAATAGGACGAAACGGCCGTCCATTGCTTCCAGGTTTTCAATGGTGGTCTGACATCAATCGGTTCATGATCTCAATGATAATGAATAATTTGTTCATTCTTAATATCCTATTCTAACACTTTTTGGTGACTATAAATTAAATTGATGTTTCATATGACTTTATAAAACTTTGTTTAGTGAGCTGATGATAAGTTTATACGTACCGACCAAATTTTAGAAAAGATCTAGATAAATTGGTGAGATTATAATTTATAGACGAACTAATCAGATATAAAATAATGAGTCTTGAATTTTGGCGCGAAATTCATTCATGCATTTGCCTAAATAGCGTTTTAGTATTTTGGCTGATGTCAGTTCGTGATGAAAACCCTAAATCGAACTCCTAACCTTAACTGTCAACTGTAAATCATAATTTTAATTCATCACACTGCTTTACAACCTTCATTTAGCCCTAATATGTAGGTGCACATTATAAAGGTCACTTTAGGGTTGCTCAAAGGTCGTTCATGGACTAAAGTCTCACCGGTAAATGTTCTAAATCGTCTCTAGTCAGTGCATGAATGAATCTAATACCATTGTACTAAACTCAAATAAGCTTTACAGAATTTTTAATCGGTATTTCTTTCTTTATTCCTCTATTCAGCTACCGGATTCATTGATTTTAATGGATTTCTAATTTGTTATGGAAAGAAACTTCAAGAAGATCAAGATGAAAGAGATTTAAGAGATGCATTCCGAGTTCTGGACAAAAATAAACGTGGAGAAATTGATGTCGAAGATTTAAGGTAAATCCAGATTCTTGATAATTTCACTCTTGTTTCAAATATTCATCATCTAATTGGATATTTTGAAGTGAACTTCTAGTTATAAATAAGTACTTGATCTTGTAGCCGGTAAGCATAAAGATGACTATATAATCCGGTGAATATCTTTTACACGTGCCTATATTAATAGCCCAGTAATATCACCAGCCTGACCTCAACACAAAATAAAAGCAACTCTGTCTAATATCAGTATGACGTCTAATACATCAGAGACCAGAGGTTATTAAACAGCTGACGAGAACCGACGAAATAAAAATGAATTCATGCTATTCTGCTAGAATGTTTGTTCTTGCTCTTTTCAAAATGATAAAGGGAACTATGTGTATGAGATTATCAAACAATTTGACTTAAAAGAAAATTACATTCTGTTGGATGTATAAAATGAGTGATCGAAAAATAGTAGTTTCATTCGAATTTATGAAGGGATCAATTACGTAGTATAATAAGTTACCTAACAGTTCAATGTGATCGTGAGCATATAGTTTTATATACACATGTAAACTACTCATAAGTAGCATGAAATGCTTGCGAAACATTTCTTTGCATTAATTTTTTGATTTCATCCTTCTTACAGATGGATATTAAAAGGTCTAGGTGATGATCTTACTGAAGAAGAAATAGACGACATGATTCGAGATACTGATACCGATGGATCAGGATTTGTCGACTTTGATGGTAAGTTTATTCATATATATATTGGTTGTTCGAATCCACCCATTGGTGTTGAGAACTGCAATTGATCTATCTTTTATTGACATGTATGCATCCTGTACGAATTGTCTCGAAACAGCCATTCAATCACAAGCATTTTAAGCAGAAATGTATGGTAGCTAGTTGTTAAGTCTAGGATGAGCGTTTTATCCTATATGGGATTCGTCACCTGTACATATCTGCCGCATCCGAATTAATGTTCACTCCGGGACTCGAACCCACTATCGTCCACCTCAAACGTCAACGCGTCATCTACTTAGCTCATCTACTTAGTTCAATAAAATTATTTACATTTGTAGAATATAATTTTTCAACACTTAAATTTTTCGTCAGTAAAATTATCCCAACAAGTCATCAATCGGATAGTTTCTTTTCTGAAATATTCACATCCACTTTAATTCTGAGTTGTAATACAACACAATAATAGGCTGTAAAAATTATCTATACATATCTATTTTATGATTAACTTGGCTGACAAAGAGCATCATCAAAAACCACTAGAAGGTGTTTTCAGCTAATTTAAAGATCAAAAAGCTTTTAAGCAACTAATGATACTTAATATTATGATTATTAGCGATGTATTGATTATCATATTAATACATTGGTATACCAACTGGATAACGTTACTCCTTATAAACTATCAATAAACCCTGTTTGAGTTATGAAAACTGTCGTAATTTAGTAATACACTAATCGATCAGATGTCTATAATAAAGTTTTAGATCTGGAAACTAGCATGAGATTTTGTAGCAGTTTGCACCCATAATCCCTCCATGGATCAAATACAGAACCGTCTGGTCTCATAGAGGGTTTAATACAATTAGCTCCAACTTCAGGTAATGAACATACTTTGTGATCTTTCGGTCATGTTACTCAGCTTCATACTAGAACGACACATCCGTCCAATATTTTTGGTTTTCAACAGTCTTCTAGTCACCACAACAATCTTCACAAATCTTCAGTATTAATATATAAAATAAGCCAAGCATTTATTTTCTAAGCTTTTTATTATAAGATTGTTGATATTCGGGACCGCGACTGATTAGTTTTTATGGTTATTTGTATCCAAAGTGGATTGTCTCAATATTACTGTTTAGTCACAAGTTTTCAGAAGACATGAAAATGCCCGTTTTGTTCCACTTAAGATTCATTAAATGAATCTAATTAATAAATCTTAGTGTTCATGTTCACACAATTACTCAAATCTGGTATTTTTCACTTTAAACCGTCATGGGCTATTCATTAAGCCCATTAACTGGTTCTAATTGTATAAAGTTATTTAAAAATGGCTGTATAAATTGAATTTTATTTAGTTTTTGTTGTCATGTGTGTGTATCTTGAGTATATATTGTTGCCCTAATACTAACATGTAGTTATGAAAAAAGAACAGTTTATCATCTTCTATTCACGTTCATTTTCTCCACTGAAATTAAACAATCTATTATAGCTTGCTGTCTCGTAATATATATCATGAGATTATATCACCAATTTGAGACACCAACTTATACGACCAAACCAATGACCCATAAAACCTGTACAAACAGCCTAGAGTTCTTGATGAACATTTGAGATAGTAACTTCCCGCCTAACTCAGCCGGTTCAGGACAGAACTTAAATACCAGCCTCCGTTACATGAATCATATATTTCAGACATACTATGTTTATATACTAGCAAACCAGACCTCATCGTACCATAAAATAGAAAATAACAACTATATAATATCAAGATAAAAAGTGGCTGTGATTGTAAGAAACTGTAGCTAATAAATGGGGAATATCTCAAGAATAGTAAATCGTAAAATAGTAGTCAATAGGTCAAACAAAAGCTTATAATAAAAGGAATATGAATAGACACCTAATATAGTTACAATAACAATATATCTAATAATAATTCATACATAGATCTTAACAGGTACCACTCACTATTCTTCATCCGGATATACCACTATCAATATAAAGTTATAATTGTATTTTTGAATTCTTTTGTAATTATTTGTTTGCTTGTTTGTTTATACATTCTTAGAATTCTATAAATTGATGACATCTGAATAGAATTTACAATTTCACCTCAATGAACTTTAAGTGAAAATTCACTCAAAATTACATTTCATTTAACCTTTTCTCTTGTAACATATTACTATTATTATTATTATTATTACTATTGTTACTTAATCATAATGCTTCTTTATCAATTAGTAACTTGTCTTATTGCACAATCTTAGTTTCATCAATGATGCATCGATCGATTCATGTGACTGTTTTTCTCTTTCTTTTTTGTTTACATACACCAATTACAGCTTACCCTGCAAAATTGTACTGTAGTTATTTTTGAATTTTATAATGATTTGCTGTATCAGTTTTCTCCCTTATATATATTTAGTAATGTGTAATTGTATTATGATGCATCAATCAGTTTAGATTATCTTCTGTATGTTCCTTGAATTGTCACTAATTGTAAAACCCTACTTTCTCTGTAAGCTTTAACCCCAACATTATTGAATTGTTTCTTATAAAAGGGATTAATTAAATAGTGAATTGTGCTGTAATAACTATCAGTTCTTTCTGGGTTTTCCTAAAAGTAAAAAAAAGAAAATAAAGATGAATCTTACATTTTTATTAATACAATTTCAAAATTTGAAAGGATTCCTTTACATGAAATTAATTTCAATACAGAACTGTTTCTAGCTGGGTTTTTCATTATTTCTAATGAGTAAAAACATAATATCGATCTCAATTTGAATGATTCTTAAACTGACCACATCGATTATTGAAGGTACTTAACAACTAATCAACAGAGTGATTGAATATGTCGAAAAATATTTTACAACAGAATTAATGAAGTGTTACTAGTATAGGAGTTGTGGAGATTATTAAATTTTTGATTGAGATCATGAACCGCTATACTAGTAATCAACATGTGCTCACTAGTGACTAGCTTCGTGAGGGAATTCTCGGAGTTCTAGTGAGAAGCCGTGACCAGTGGAGCTAATCCATGTCGGGTAGAGACAGGTATCTACCTCAGTACAATGGGAGTTGGTCGCGCAATTTCGTGGATTGGTTGATGTTAGACACTATCACCATTGGATGCCGGCTCGGTGGTCCAGAACGTTAAGCGTTCGCGCACAAGACCGAAGGCCCTGGGTTCGAATCCCGCTCACGGGATCGTGGATGCGCACTGCTGAGGAGTCCCACAATAGGACGAAACGGCCGTCCAGTGCTTCCAGGTTTCCAAAGGTGGTGGTCTAACATCAATCGGTTCATGATCTCAATCAAAAACTTAATGAAGTGTTGTTAGGATGTTGATTAGAATCTTTCAAAACTAATTATGAGTTTTCCAATTTTCATATTGTATTAGGTTTCTTTCATAATCTTTCTCATAGATATAAATAGTTTTGTAGTAAATTTATCACGGCCGACAAAATCGTTATTTTTTAATTCGCTAAATATTTACAGAGATGAGAATTATAAGACAATCCTCTAAGGAGGATCATCGTGGAGTATACTATAGGGACGAGCTTAAAACAACTGTAACGCATATTCAACCACTTCTCAGTCAATCAGAGAACAGCTTTCTAAATGGCTAATTGATGCTTAAGAAAATAATAAGTAGAGTTTATATATTTAATGAATCTGTTAATGGCTTTTACAAGTTACACTACCTGTAAATCGAAAAAACAATAACATATGAATCCGTCCTTACAGCTATAAATTGTTCACTTTCTCGAATTCTTATGAGAACCAAAACTGATTTTTCAGAGTCTACAAATTGTTCCTAGTTAAACTTAAGTAATTAGAGTTAGGCTTAGAGACTTAGGTTTGGGTATTTAATCATTAACTGACATAAGCTATAATGCAAAAGTGATCAGTAGCCATATAGATGGATGGATTTCACGTAAAAATAGAAGGGACGCTATCTGATCAGTCGGTTCATAAAATTTAGTGCCATTAGGTTATGATTTGTTTCGTGATTCGTAGTTTATATTTAGAATTTAGGGTTAGTTTCGATTTAGATGTTATATGTGATCTAAAAAGGTAGAATTAGACTTAGGATATGTTTAACACTATCACATTTCCTGTTATCATATCGAAAGTTTTGAGCAATGTACAGAAGAATATCTGATCGTTATAAAATGGTATTTGAATTTTCCGCAAAAACCTAAAGGTTTTAGTACTGAACCTGATTGGCTCGTCCCAATCCTATACTTTTCTATAACGTTCACAGATAATGATAATCCATTTATGATTAATTAATTGATCAATGTTGTTTGATTTGAACTCTTTAAGACAACTAGGAGTTGACATATTTACATATTTGAAGACATTGGACAAAAAGCCTTGAGTTTCATGCTAGTTGGAACTTATCAACAAGTCCTACGTGAAACATTATTAAGTAAACTAATACTCGTCAAGAAATGTAAACTTTTATCGCTCAATGTAACAGTCAGAGTGGTTACCATTGAGCTATCCGTTTCACGATTGACATTTTATCGAACTTATGTTCATACTGAATGATCAGTGAGTAGTAACCAATGTTTTACTTGTCAATCGAATTCTATAAGTATGTCCTTTTCGCTCTATATATTTTAGTATCGTGATACGAAAAATAGATCATATCTCATAAAATGTGAATAATCGGTTCTTTATACCATCGAAAAAGTTTAATATACCAGTTGATTCCACCAACATCTCACTCCTCGAAATAAGTTTGGTTTACATTTAATTAAATAACCTTCAGTTATTCATTTGTATTGGTTAATCTGAATCATCTATTGATGTTGAGAACTTCAATTGATCTATCTTTTACTGACATGTATGCATCTTGTACGGATTGGCTTGAAAAAGTCATTCAGTCATAAGTATTTTAACTAGAAATGAATGCTAACTAGCTGTTAAGTTACGGATGAGCGTTTTATCCTATTTATGATTCATCATCTGTATATACTTACCACATCTGAATTAATGTTCACCCCAGGGCTTGAAACAAATAGGATAAAGCATAAAATCTTGATATCCACTGCTAACTATCATATATCTCTCCTTATAATGTTTGATCATGTTATGAAAGTATCACTCATCACTGTTTGATTTTCACTTATAGTTATGTACTTGGATTAATATAATGAAAATGTTCACTATATAGAAAAGTATACAAATATCCATAGGAGTTGAACTCAATTCAGTTAATATAATAAATATGTATAATCAATATTTTTTTTTAAAAGTGGTGGTGACTGATCCTATTGTGAATTATTTTCGGTATCTATAATCTTTTCACACTGAATATTTGGATAGTTTGTTTGTTTGTATGTTTATTTTGGTGAAATTTTCCACCTTTAAAAAAATGGGATTTTAAGAAATCACTTAACGACATCATTTAATATAGAATCTTGATAATGCAATGAGAAGACGTAGTTTATCAGAATTATGTGATATATTTGCGCAATCAGATGAATTCTAATGGTGAAATAAGACCACAGGATAGACAGACATCATCATCCATTGCGAAACATTTAATTGAGACGGGTCATAAGGTTGATATCAAATCAGCATTTGTTGTGTTGTACAAAAGCCTTCAAGGACGTATACTAAGGTTTATTGAAGCCTTGGCTATACGAAAATTGAAACCCCCTTTATGTGTTCAAAAACAATTTGTACTTACACTTAACCTACCCTAGTAGTACTGATTTACTGTCCAGAGTGGTAATCACATTTGTTTTTGTGTACTTTAATATTTTTCCTTTGTTATGACTTACCCTTAACCTGTCTAGTTGACCTTTTAATTTTTCATATATAAATGTTCTTAACAAGTATATGTGTGATCAGATTGTTCGAAATGTATTGCGCAAATAAATCACATAATTCTGATAAACTACGTCTTCTCATTGCATTATCGAAATTTATCAAAGGGACTAATTGTTTTAAATTTCTGAATAGAATCTTGAATTTAAACATTGTTCTGTTTATGCTAAGTGTTTCAAGACTGAACAATTCAAAGAGACAGAGAGAGTGTGTGTGCGGCTTGCTTGAGAATCTGGGCTACCTGTTCCTGCCATCTAGATATTTCAACAAGTTATCTATTTTTGTTTGTTTTAATGTATCATTATGTTTATTAATCGCATAACCTATTCTGCTGCGTTTCTGAAAAGTGTACAACCTTTCGTTGTCAAAGTTACAAAAAACTCAATAAGAGACAATGTGGTTGCTGGCAATATACAGCGAAATGAATGAACATTATTCAGATGCTCATTTAGTGAACTGCTAACATCTAACTGGCGATCACTCAATATTTATCACCAGGATCGATCAAGAAGAAAGAAACGGAAACTTGTTGAAATACTTTGTGCTCAGAATTCTATATTGTACCAAAAATATAATATTGAATAAAGGTGATAATAATAATAACTTAGATTAATTAGCATGGTTTTAAACTGTTCAGTCGTATCAGAATGGGTTTTGTGGATATTATAGTAATTTTAATGGTTGAGATCATGAGTCAATTGAAGTTAGACCACCATGGAAAACCTGGTACTAGTGAACAACCATTTCATCCTATTGTGGGACTCTTCAGCAGTGCACATCTACGATCCCATCTCGCAAGATTTGGACCCAGGACCTATCGGTTTTACGCGCAAACGCTTAACCTCTAGACCAATTGCATTAAAATGAAGGTTTGAATTTTAATTATATTTCAATGACTTAGTAACATGTTGGATGCCTATGACTTAATTTATACATTGACCTCGTGACCAATTGAATTATGAATCCATTAGTTTATTCGGTTTCTATAGTTTCTGAGTCTAATCGTAAGATTCACTGAGTTGAAAACTATAAACGCTAAACTTCGTTAGAAAAATGTCAAACAGATAAAATCTTATTTTAAGCTTGACGAAGCAAAAACGTTTTCAATTAATGTATTTATTATCATTTTAAGATATCTAACATATATACATACATCTAGGGAAAACGAATCCGTTATCATGTCATTGCTAATGCCTTTCAAATTTGTACAATACTTGGTTAGTAGTTTTCATTTAAAACACATTAAACACAAATGACCAGTTATCAAATAAGTCAGTCGATCAGTTGAGAAAATGATAAAAGATGTATTTATCGAATAATGCTTCCCTGAAAATTAATCATTCAAATAATTATGGCTGTTATACGTCATCGCATTTTAGGTGAATAAGTAATAATACTTTATGGCTATACATATATAATGATATTGTTTGGATGCATCTGAAAACTAAGAAGCAATAAATAGCTATTTCGTCCTAATATACGACTCCTCATTCGTACTCACCAGAGATCAACACTAGGACCTTCGGACTTGACAGTGAATGTTTGACCATTAAAACAACTACATCAATGTACAGTGGTATAATTTCAATTTCAATCATTTTGTAAGACAACTCGATGGTCATCTAATGACATTGATGATATTTGTCAGGGGTTTGTACCTCTAAAGAGTCTTATACTAGAAGGAGACAGTAATCTAGTGATCTCTGTTCATTAATCCTACCACAGATGAGATTAATCTTCGACTAATATAGTCTACAAAAATTTATTTTATTGAGTTTTAAGTAGTGGTCCAGTTTTGAGTGTTTAATGAAATGGCATTTCACTAAGTCGTATTCGGTTTAAAAATGCACTTTTTCAAAGTAGGGCAAACAGAGACCTAACATATCTTTTAGAGAATTGAGATAATTTAAAGTTTTTTTAGGGGAATATTATGCTCTATTTGAAAAATACATATTGAAATAAAA